TTTGAAGGAGGACATTACAGGACAGATCCCGAGAAAATCAAGACAGTGGTGGAGTGGCCAGTCCCTGAGACCAGGTAACTGTTGCAATGCTTTCTTGGTTTTGAAAACTTCTAACAGCGCTTCAGAAAGGACTACAGCTGCATCGCTTTTCCTATGTCACAACTCACATCCACCACAAGGACATTCAAATGGACTCCTGAAAGCAACACTGCATTTGGTAAAGAATTATTTTTTTTCTTCTACTCCCATTCTCTGTCATCCTGACCCCAAACGTCAATTTATCCTATAGGTGAATGCTTTTGACATTGGGGTATGGGGCTGTTCTGTTTCAAAGGTCCCCCAGTGACAATATGGTTTACCCATGTGCCTTAATTTGACGAGGTTTATCCCAGGGTGAAAATAATTATGATATGGGCAACCAAAAATTGTTGGCAGTCAAACTAGTCTTGGAGGAGTGGCACCACTGGCTGGAAGGCAGAGAGACCCTTTTTTAATATATTTGGTCCAATCAAAAGAATCTTGTGTACCTTAGAGATGCTAAACACTTAACTCTCAGACAGGCACATTGGTCTTTATTATTTAATCGCTTCAACTACATTCTTACTTTCAGACCCGGTTCCAATAAAGTGAAACCAGATGCAGGCAGCCACCAGGGTGTGCCTGCACACACCCCACTACCCAGTCCCAGCCGGTGAGAGCCGCCAATGCACCGGCAGCAGGAGGGCCCACCACCAGAGGGGAGTACAACACACCAAATGGGGGGGGCAAAATTGATCCAAGAGAGGGGACCACCCAAAACCCAACCTGAGACATAAACAGGCACACAGAGACAGCCCGACGGACCCTCCGTCAGGCCGTCTATGTGCCCCACCAACCCGACAGGAACCACAAGCCGGCCCCAGGCCAGGGGCCAGAGCAGCAGGGAACAACAGCCAAGGAAGGCTGGCCCAGCGCACCAATGCTTCCCTACAGCCCCACAACCCAGACCTGGAGAGGCCCCGGCATGCCACCCATGCACTCCCCCCCCACACACACACAGCACCCCCCACCGCGAATGTTACATCAGGCCGACCAGCCAGCACCCCGTCAAAGTGAAGCCATAACCCTGACCGCCGCCATGAACCAACAACAACCACACACGCACAACCACAGCCGACCCTCCGCCAGAACCCGGCAGCCACCCCAGCCAAAGGGCCGGTCACCGCAACCAGGAACCTTGATCAAAAGATCCAAACAACTCAGGGAGAACCAGAGCACCGGCCCCACCCCCAACCTCCCCCCAAGGCCCAACAACAACCCACAGCCTAGACCCCAACCAGGCAGCCTACCCCCCTGCCCCCGACCCCAAATGCCAAACAGAGAACGAGGGTTTAAGGAAAACAGGAAGACCCAACTCCTCCCTCCTCCCACTCAAATAAGGTGTTGATGCATGTTGTTATATAGTGCATTTAAAATGGGGGGGGGTGAGGTGGTGACTGGCACAGACCCACCCTCTCCCCAGAGAGCATGCAGTGCCCATTCACCTACCCAACCCTTGCCGAGAACCCTAAATGTCTACATGCTACATATGAGAGTGGGCACAGGTCCCAGGGTGAGAATGATTACACATCCCACCCCCTATATGTCACCGTGTGCCAACTCCAGACCCTATATATGCATGTGTCATGAGAATGTTATATGTGAGTGTCTAGGTTGTTTAATAAAATTAGGGTCCAGGTCTCCACGAACCACAGAGATGGAGGATCCTCCCCGTAGCTCAGTAGTGCACCTGAACCCCAAGGCCCTGCTTGAGCAGTGGTATGATGGGAGTGGGCGGAGGAAGACGTTGGGGTGGGGAGGAACAACTGAGGTGGCAATGCCCTCCCAGGGGGCCAGCTCCCCCACTGACCCCAATAGGCACACCCATTCTCAGAGATCCACCAGGGGAGGGAGGCTCCAGTGAATCCATCCAGGAGCAGGAGGCAGCCGCACCACCAGGGACGCAGGCCATGGACCGGCACATAGCCCCGAGGACTGACCAGAACCTGGGCCAGCAACCAAACCCCTCCAGATATCATCCAGACCCCTAACCCGATCCCCAGCTCAGCACCCAGCCCCTCAACCAAAGAGGCCACCAACCTCCAGCAGAGACAATCAGCCAGGAGTGCCCAAACAGCTGCAGATAGCGCACCATGACAACCTAGAGCGCACCCCCACCCCCACAAAAGGACCGACCAGTCCACCACAGCAACACCCACAATTAGAGTACCCCACACAAGGGAGGGCACATGCCTAACATGCCCAGACATCTCCGGGCCAGCAGTGCAGAGCCACTCGAGCAAAAGCCCCCCCATCCACAGCCCCCCACAGCCCAGACCCCCAGCCAAGCACCAGACCGCAGCCACAGCCAGGCAGGAAGACACCCAGGATGAATCCACCCGTACCCTCCCATGGCCCACCCAGGAGCAGCCAGGCCAGTAACCTGCACCCGCCGTTAGAGGTAAAGTGTTGAAGTGGGTTCACAATGCCAAGTTCACTTGCCATCCTGGCATAAGACACATACTTCACTTAATCAAAGCAAACTTTTGGTGGCCCAAAATGCAGGATAATGTGAAGGGTTTTGTTTCAGCCTACTCGACATATGCACACAAAAAGCACAGCAACCAGCCTTCTGCGGCATTGCTTTTGCCACTTCCCATCCCCAGCCAGTCATGGTAATGCATCATTTTGTACTTCATCACTGGTCTACCAATTTCTGAAGGTAACTCTGTGATTTGTACAATTATTGACTGATTTTCTAAGTCTGCTAATTCCATCCTTCTCTCCAAGCTCCTTTCTGCTCTTGAGACTGCACAAATTATAATCAAACATGTCTTCCGTCTTCACAAAATTACACAAGACGTTGTTTCTGACAGGGGCTCTCAGTTTATTTCCCAGATGAGGAAGGGGTTCTGCCAAGCTTTGGGTATGACCCCCATTCTCACATCAGGCTACCATCCACAATCCAATTGCCAAACAGAGCGCTGCAACTAAAAACTGGAGACTGTTATTGGGTGTGTGTGATCAATAGCAATCCATCTTCATGGAGTCAACACTTGTCATGGATAGAATATGCCCACAACTCCTAAACCTCTTCAGCCACTGGGAAGTCCCCATTCGAGTAACCAGATAATGTAGGTTATGCTCTTCCTCTATTTCCATCTCAAGAGTCTGATATTGGTGTTCCCTCTGTCCAGCACCACATCAAATGTTGCAACAGAGCTTTGTGCCAGATGAAGGAGGCCCTGTCCAGATCTGTGGAGCAGAATAAGCAGTTCGCCGACAGACAACGATCCAAGGCAACTGAGTACAGGATCGGCCAAAAGGTATGGCTCTCCACTAAGGACATAACCTTAAAAGACACCCCAAAGAAACAGGGCCCCAGGTTCATCTGGCTATTTCCAATGGTCAAAATTATGAACCGGTCGTCTGTGCATCTTCAGCTCCATCGATGAATATACACCCAAACTTCCATGTAACTCACATTAAGCCAGTAAACACCAGCATGCTACACCCTCCAGCCAACCTCCACCACCACCCCCCACCTCCCGCCATCTGATTGGCAAGGAACCAGCCTTCTCCATTAGATGCCTCTTGGACGTTCAAGGCTGGGGCCGTGGACTTCAGTTCCTGGTCGATTGGGAAGGCTATGGCCAAGAAGAACACTCTTGGGTCCCCAGATAACAGAACTTGGACCCCGAGCTCATCACCTCTTTTTACAGAGCTTACCGTGAAAAAAGACAGATTGCCAAGAGATGATTCTTGTGTGTGTGTGTGTGAGCGGAGAGTGGGGTAGGATTCCTAGGTTTTCTCTACCACTCACCCTCTCCCCAGCTAATCATCACCTGATTCACCCCACCTGCCGCAGACACTGAGGAGGACTGAGACATCAACTGCAATTCGGTAATTTGTGGATGTTATAGTAAAGCCCCCAGTATACTCACATGTACATCCATATGCGGAGGTACGCACGTACGTACGCAGAGGTATGAGCGTACCCCCCAGGGCATGTCCATGCAAAGCTCAATTTTTACGACCGTGTACGCGGTGTCTTACAATAAACTGCCCAGCAACGGACTGTTTTGTATGCGACACCAATGTATTAAATGCCCTTTCTTCATCCCTGATGTGGTCTTTTTGTTTTTTTTGCCAAGAGGCAAGCGATCTCTTCCTCCTCCGTTGATGCCATGACTGAAATGGTGAGAAATTAAATAATTTGTCACGAGTGAATTAAACTCAGGTCCAGTGTGGCTGCAGGAGGGTCTGGAGATTTCCTGGTGGGCTGGTTTGATGTGTGGGCTGCAGAGCCAGCACTCCTTTTTATATGTATATTTTTAGATCTTTTTATTAACAACATATAAACACAGAACACCGCTGCGGCTGAGGCTGCCAGCGCTCGTTTATTTATTATTTTGACCTGTCAATAAATCCAGTAGGCGTGTCAGCAAATGACCAATGGGCAAACTCAATTTGTCCCGAAGGTAAATGCCCCTTGTCTGTGAAGCTGCTCTGTAGCCGCTCAGGGTGTATGCTGGAGTATGAAGTCTGAACCTTCTGCGTACAGTACATGCGTATGTATGTGTGAACGGACGTACGCGGGAGTATACTGGGGATTTAAGACAGCTTACGGCTGACTAGCAATACATTTTATACATTATTTAAATATTCACAATGCGTTTTAACATAATAAAAAGTAAAATATGTCTGTTAGTTTTTGTACAAACTATTCTAAACTGTCCTGCATACATCTGAAATATTAACCATTTTGTTGGTCTGAACAAACATGACAACAACAAGTTCTGCAGTTTGTAATCACATGTTATTTATTCAATTTAAGTAATGATTTGGCTAATGTTACTTCAGACAGACAATGACAAAAACATTTGAAGACATGCATTTGTTCACAGTAATTATCTGAATAAGACATGAGATTTGACCAGTTGTCCTCCAGAAGATATATCTTTGAGGCTTGACCTCCTACTGAAAGTGACATCATCATGTTGTTCGGACAACAAAGGTACATTTACACATCTTTAGCACAAACAAAAGCATTTTGTTGGCTGCAGACTTCATCGTTGACGTAATCTTCTCCTGTAAACAATAAAAAAAATATTCAAAATAAGAGAAATTTGAATTGTCTTCTCCTGAGTTTCCTTTCTTCTGAAATGAATAATTGAAAACAAAACACAAACTGTTAACAATGGAGGAAGACCATGTTTTGTCTTCAATACAAAGCTAAACAGGTGTCATAAAGAATAATCAGATAAAACCCTGCAATATTTTCAGCTAAAGTGATCCACAAATTAAATCTAATTATTTTGTTCACACTGGAAACATCTGTTTAAAGAGCAGTTAATGTCTCATGTACCATTCCAGTTCATATCCACACAGTTCTCATGTCCACCCATGTTGTTTGGTTCCCCTGGGCCCCAATGAGTGTAGGAGAAATCAGATCCATCGGTCCATGTCCAATCACCGGACTGTGAGAGGAAGTTTTCAAACATCAGTTCTTTAACTTCATCCTGATTGTTAAAATATTTTCAGAAAACTGTTTCCACTAGTTAGACTTCTAAACAAAACCCTCACTTCTCCCTTGGTGCCTCCAACCCAAGATTTTGTGTTGGTTCCAGAAGCTCTCACAATGAGTCTCCTGATGAAGTAGTACTCAGCTTCATCATGAAAGGAAGCCAAATGACCATTTTGGTCAGTGCAATATCCCTGTGTGGAAAGATGACAGCATAAATGCATAATCACATTTTCATCATTGTGATAAGCTAGTTGTACAGGAGGCAACAAACTTTGGCAGTAATAACGTATTTGTGAAGTATCTGATTAAAACTGGTCTTCATCTGGCGTTAGAACAATCAGGTTGGCAACTGATTCAAGCTAAAAATCCATGACCAATAAACACATCACCTTGGATCATCCACAGAGGTCTAAGACAGTTCTGTGTTAAATGTAATTGGGTCTAAAATAAGAAACAACCTGCATTGCACCATAATATCATTATCAAGAATACATTTTAAGTAGTTGAAGATTTAACTTGTGACCTAGGTAAAGTCCATCCATCCATCCATTATCTTTACCCGCTTATTCCATTTTGGGTCACGGGGGTCGCTGGTGCCCATGTCCAGCAATCACTGTGCGAGGGGCGGGGTACACCCTGGACGTGTCGCAAGTCCATCACAGGGCCACATAGACACAAACGAGACAAACAACCATTCACTCTCTCACTCACACCTAGGGACAATTTAGAGTTACCAATCAGCCTAACATGCATGTTTTTGGTCTGTGAGAGGAAACCGGAGCACCCGGAGAAAACCCACGCATGCATGGAGAGAACATGCAAACTCCACCCAGAGAGGCCCCTGGACCGGGGTTTGAACCAAGGACCTGCTCGCTGAGAGGCAGCAGCTCTACCAGTTGCGCCACCGTGCTGCCCCACCTAGGTAAAGTAAAAATGTTAATTTAAGGAACAGCCATTCTTTGTTTCATTAGTTCTACTTTTCATTTGAGGAACATTCTCATTTCATATTTGTAATGATGGAGTTTTAACTTCAAAAGCAGTAAATTGACTGAAATTATGTAGCACCTTTCTATCTAATCAAGATACTCACAGTGCTATACAACACAATATGTGTCCTTATTTACCTCCACACACCCACATTCATACAGTACTCTACTAGATCTCTAAAATGCTAATCTGAATCTGTAGAGACTAATCAGTGCTTTAAATCACTTTCATACACCGATGGGACGCACATCAGAGGTAATGAGGGGTTCAGTGTCTTGCCCAGGGACACTTCAACATGTGAATGCTGGTAGAATTAAAGCCCCAACTCTCCTGTTGGAGGACGACTGCTCTAACCACTAAGTGACACCTGCCCCAACAGTGATTACAGACCATCATTCCACACAGATACAATGAATCGCTAGATAGTTGTACCTCTGCATCTCCCCAGGTCATTTGAGTACTCTTGAACAAGAAACAGCGGTTTCGAAATAAAGTCCATGAAGGAGGGCATCTCTTACAAATAAAGCAAACTACAAAGACAGAAAAAAAAACAGTGATTACATATGACTGAAAAGTAGTAAATGACCAAAATGAGGGTTTTATTAATGTGACACTTTTGCGTGAACTACAAGCACTTATTTATATGTAATTCATTTGGTGTGATATATGGATTATTAAAGACTATCCACTTTAAGTTTGGGAGAGAATATTCAAAATTATTTTTTTATTTAACTTAAATTTAAATTAAAACCACAAGTGTCCTGTTTAATTATACTTCCACTCTATTTTTTTTTTTCTGAGACAAACACGGCTGGATTTGATTTCATCTCACTAGTACAATTTAAAAGTCCTAAAAAAAACTATTGCCTATGGAGTTGCATGTTGTGATTTATATTTTACCTGAAACTTTCTAAATGCTAATAGGTTCTTCAATGGTTCTACATTTATGTCTCCATTGATTTGAATCCTAACAACAAACTTGGTTTAAAGAACATCTTTGTGGGAATTTGCTTAACATACTAAACATTTTGTGGTTTCATGGATAGCCTAAACCAAAAAAAAAAAAGTCTCAGAATGTCTGGTGCACTGTTTTTAAAACTTAACCAGTACAAATAAAAAAAGTAAAGTAAAACACTCACTTGGTTGTGCATCACAAAATATCTGTGGACGTAAAAAAAAGCACAGAATCAGATTTCAACCTGCTTGTTGTGAGCATGAATGTTGATCACACATGCAACAACAGGTGAGGAGTACCAAAACTATTTATATAAAGAATTTAATTCAAAAGTTTTTTTTTTTATTTTCTTGTTTTTTCTAATAAATATTTTAAAAAGTCCAATATGTTCTTTTTTGGTACATAATGTAAATATATTATATTCATTTTATTTACCTAAAGCTGACTTTTTTTGTAAACTTACATTTCCTCCGATCCCCAATCCACAAAGGAGCAACATGAAGAGCAGACCTGATGACATCTGTGCAAACATCAGTGTTAATTTACAGTTCAGACAGAAACTTAGAGTAAAAATAATTCAATCTGCAATATCAATATTTGTTTTAAATGGATTGTGGCTAAAGGTTTTAAAAGGCCCAATACAGTGAAACAATAAATGTAGCTTTTGTTAAATACATTAACTTAATTTTAACACCCAGGTTTTATAAGTAAAGTCTTGTTACTATTATTATACAACATAAATGTAGCCAGGACTAGACCGACTTTTTATTTGGTATTGATGAAGAAAAACAGCCGGATTTTACCTTGTTGTGATGTTTGGTCCAAGCAGCAGCAACAGCAGCAGCAGTAGTAGTACCTCCTGAAAGAAGGATGCCTTTGAAAAGTGAACGTTGAGCTTTTATACATTTACGCTGTTGGTGAACCTGTCAGTCAACCTATGGCATGTAATGAGATAAAGATTAATGTTGTAGGGGGGGATTTGTTTGTGACCACCCTTCTCTCTCGGGTTGGGAGCTGCTGAGGTTTGAATGAGTAATGCGAGTGATTGAGGTGTGTCACAAGGATTGGCCACACTGGAGGTCATTTCTCCTCATTGGTAGTGTTACAGAACCTCACATTTTTATAAAGGGATCATGATTTTGATCTGGATATTACAACAATTTGACCTGTTTGATTATTCTGGGCTACTTTTCTTGTGTCCACAAACCACAATGCCCTTAACATGTATTAGTTGTTTTTAGTGTATTGCAGAAAAAAAACAAAAAAACAACAACTATTCTCTCCTAAAATAACTTATCATCAACCAAGCATGGTTTGTGGTATGCATGTGGTGCAGAGGCAGTTGAATATACAGGTATAAGACCACTGGGCGTTCAGTAAACCTTTGCACTGACGAGATGTACTGATCATTTGGACTAAAACATTCAGCATGAATTACATATTTGTGTCTCATATTAAATACAGAGATCCATAATGATGCACAGCAAAGTTGTGTTGTGAGAGAGTGGTAAAAAAAATCACTAAACTAAGTTATTTCATCACATTACAGAAACAGTTATATTTGTGAAAAGGTGAAATGGCATTGAGACTTAATAATGTGATGAAAAATGACATCCAGTCTGTGCACCCACCTGGTTGCAGGCTTAAACAGGACAAACAGAATTATCACTGGGGATGTTTTATGCAACTGTGCATAAAGTTTAAATATAACCAACCACAAAATGAATCTTTACAAATTTATATTTGTAATTTTTAAATTAATCATGTTTTGAAAACTATACAGAGCAGATGCTTGTCACACACTCTTTATGTTGAGCTCCATGTTAACCCAGCTGAGTAACAGCTACATGCCTCTTTTGGCTCACTTCATTTCTGAAAACTTGTCTGTGCAAGAAGTGTCCGGTTCCAGCTGTTATGTATGAATGGCCAGAGGCAGCTTAAAGATAAACTGGTTTGTGCAGCCATTTCAGGGAATTGTTTTGTTGAAAAGGCTTGTTCAGTATAATCACGATACTGAGCAAGTTATGCTTCAAACAGTCGGTCCCAGTGGTTGGGTCAGATATGAACGGTCACACGTTTCACAGACTGCTCTGTTAACACAAACTACTTCAATAAGTGGTTTGGTTACAAGATGGCAGAACTCCAACAAAGTGCAATACTTTGTAAAATGAAAAGGGCTGTAAAGACCTTTTTCACACTAAATGATGATGCCACTACAGTTTTCTCAATCTTGTGAAAAGTCATTACTCACTTGCTGGATTAATGCTGTTGGTTGGTTAATCTGAACTGTAGGATTCCTGAGTCCTCTCTGCCACTCACTCTCTCCACAGCTAATCATCACATGAGTCATCCCTCCTGAAGCAGACTGAGGAGGGCTGACCTGGTTGTGTATGTAAACTCCTGCCAGATGTCTCTTCAGGGCTGGGACATCAACTGCCATTTGGTAAATAATGGACAGCCAACTAACCCTTTAATTACAGCTGGTTCTAACCTGCTGTGGTTTTCTTCAGGGAATCCCATGTACTGCTCACCTTAGTCTTTCCAAAGACCTCCTTGCTCCTTCGTGGCACACCTGTAGATCAATGTTGTCCCATCAACCATTATCTACAAACAATTCAGCCTGTGTTGACCTGCTCCTCTCTACACTGATATTCATCCCTGCTTGGATCACCAGAAAACCCACGACCTTGCTTTTCCCTCAGTGGCCTCTACTCCAAGATGCAACAGTAAGATGCACTGCCTGGCCCAAAAAAAAAAAAAGTTGCCAGCAAAAAAACAGGACACACAATGATATTTTGTTGGACCGCCTTTATCTTTGATTACGGCATGCATTCACTGTGGAATTGTTTCAATAAGCTTCTGCAATGTCACAAGATCTATTTCCATCCAGAGTTGCTTTAATTTTTCACCAATATATGTTATTGATGACTAGGCACTAGACATGATGGGTGCATCACTTCACCTGCCTTTCTTCTTACCCTGATGCACCCATCACTCTGGAACAGGGTAAATCTGGACTCTTCAGACCACATGACCTTCTTCCATTGCTCCAGTGTCCATTCTTTATGCTCCCTATCAAATTGAAGCCATTTGTTTCCGGTTAGCCTCACTGATTAGTGGTTTTCTTAAGGCTACACAGCTGTTTACTAGTCCCAATTCCTTGAGTTCCCCTTGCGTGGTGCATGTGGAAATGCTCTTACTTTCACTACTAAACATAGCCCTGAGTGCTACTGTTGTTTTTCTTTAATTTGATTTTACCAAACGTTAAATTGATTGCCGATCACGTTCATTCAAGATTTTTTTTACAGCCACATTTCTCCCTCGAAGACGATGGGTCCCCACTATCCTTCCAGTTTTTAATTATGCGTTGGACAGTTCTTAAGGTCCACAGAGGATGCTATTGCAGTAGCTCTCCACACCGTGCTGAGCCACCTGGAACAACAGCACAGCTACGTTTGAATGCTCTTTGTGGATTACAGCTCGGCCTTTAACACAATCATTCCGGACATTCTTATAAATACATTGGACAATCTTGGCCTCCCCCCCACTCACATGTGCCTGGATTAAAGACTTCCTAACCAATCGGCCCCAATCTGTAAGACTTGGTCCCCACCTCTCCTCCACTCGTACGCTGAGCACTGGCTCCCCACAGGGCTATGTGCTGAGCCCCCTGCTGTACTGTCTCTACACCCATGACTGCAGCCTGGCCCACAACAACAACCTCATCGTCAAGTTCGCTGATGACACCACAGTGGTCGGACTAATCTCTAAGGGAGATGAGACATTTTACAGACAGGAGGTCCTGGAGCTAGAAACCTGGTGCTCAGAGAAAAATCTGACTCTGAATATCAAAAAAAAACAAGGAGGTAATTATTGATTTCAGGAAGCACAGCACCAACCTAGCCCCCCTTCACATCAATGGCGAGTGCGTGGAGAGGGTTCATACTTTCAGATTTCTTGGTGTCCATATCTCTGCTGACCTTAACTGGAAAGAGAACACCACAGTGGTCATCAAGAAGGCTCAGCAGAGAGTACACTTCTTAAGAGTCCTTAAGAAGCACAACATGAACACCAAATTGCTGCTGACCTTCTACCACTCGTCCATCGAGAGCCTGTTGACATACTGTATCTCAGTATGGTACGGCAGCTGCATACTGGCTGACAGGGAAAGGCTTCAGAGAGTAGTCAAGACAGCACAAAAGATAATTGGCTGCCCTCTCCCCTCCCTGATGGACATTTACACATCGCGCTGCCTCAACAGAGCAGAAAACATAATCAAGGACTGTTCACACCCGGGTTTTGAACTGTTTGACTTGCTACCTTCAGGGAAGCGCTACAGGTGCATCAGAACACGAACAAACAGATTCAAGAAAAGTTTTTTTTTCCAGAAAGCCATCACCACACTGAACTCACACATGCACTGATTTAATAATCTAACCTCCCAAACCCCTGTACTTCTATTGTGCAATACTACTGACATTTCATACCCTCTGTCACCTT